TTTTTGCCTTTTTTATTCAGGTACAATATAATCTGGTAAAGGAGAACACATGTGAAAAACAGTAGTCATCTTCATCAAGGTGGGAAAATATGATAGAATGTTGCCCGAGTGCTAGATTTTTTGGCACAATGTTTTCCGTAGTTATATTTTCAAGAACTGTATAAATCATACTTATAGGATAAGATTTTTTCCCGTTGAAAAATGGGCACTTAAGAAAGCCTGACTCATACTTGTTAGTGGAGAAAATGGAACCTCTCTAAATATATGTTACAATAATATTCTTTTGTTTTACTAATTTATGAAAGTTCATAATAAAATATAGCAATTTTGTCAGAGTTTTGTTGGCTTAAAACTACAGTGAAAAATCAATAAAATGCTAGATAAATGTTAGAATTATCAACTGGCACTTCTACCTATCAAAGATACTGGACTAGTTAAGAGGTTATAAACAAATTTACTGCCATTTTGATAACACAATAAATGCCTGTTTTTTTGTTGTTTTTTTTTCAACATTATATTATGTTTTGCTATAGTTCATTCATAACTCATAGTTACGGGATCTTTTTCTTCACTGGGATAGGACTCATAATTTCTCATCTAAGAAATATTTACTTTTAGAAAACAAAAACAACCACATCTTGGTACAATTAGAGTACAAAAGTAGGTAGCATAAGTTTTTTGATTATTATTAACTAACAAGTCAGGTAACTAAATAGTAAAAAGCACCTCTTTCATTGTCATTATTGAGGATGCTATTCTTACCCGTGTGAATTCCAATACGTAGCATTAACGGTACGTTGGGCATATGTCTAATTTTGAACTTGCCACAGACATAAAGTAAATCCAAAGCCATGGTGGCAATCTCTTCTGCATGGTTCTGTATGCGTTCTGGGAGTCCTCCTACTACCATATAGGCATCGCCAATTGTTTCCACCTGGTAGCAACAGTAATAACAATAAACAGGCTTATGATCTCTATAGATTTGTGGTAAAATAGATGAAAAATGAAGCCATAAATAGCAGCTAAACGAAATCTAAAAACAGAATTCGTATTGGGGTTTTGGCTTAAACCAAAATATTGATGAATAACGGCTATGATAAAACTTTTCTTCTGTTTCATTACGTATTATCTTGGTTATTTCAAACAAAATGAGAGCTACAAAAGTTGCTACAAACTTTTCTTCATTTTTTAACAATGGTTTGTTTGTTTATTTGAAGTTAAGCACAAAGCTACACAATGGGCTATTTGTGCTGTGCTTACCACGGGTATCGAATACCTGGTTCTGGCGTTATTAGTCCAGACTCTTACCGCTATGCCATTGGGAGTATTTAACAATGAAACACATAGGTAACGTTTCAGCAAGTTTTACATAATTGAACCAATAGCATATGTTAATAAATTTTCGCTCTTAATCTCATCAGTTTATGACTGAGAAAAGGTTTTCCTACAAGTTGATTAAAGTCCATGTAAACATGGTTTTGTCAAACAATTAAAAACAAACGAAAATGTTAGGTGATCTAACACTAAAAAATGTTACATTCGGAGTCTTCAAAATACCAGATTGGTGTTTTTCACAAAGCTATAGCCAACCAGTTTATTTCGATCACAGACAGTCAGCAATTCAAAAATCTTTGTCGTTTGAAATATATAAATGTGAGGGACTTTGAAATATAAAACAAAGTTTTAAACATTTCCATCCAAGAAGATTTTCGTTAGAGATTTAAATTGTTTATGCATACTTGCAAAATTTATATCTATGTGCAAGATGTTAGAAACGTCTTTCCTTTCTTTCATTTTATAAATTAAAAACACTCTCAAGGATTACACAAATCCTGAAGAAACAAAACCTCCTTCAGATAATGTTACTTAGCTAAATCTTTATCTCAGATTGCCAAAGTATGATGAACTTCTTTCACGTCCAGTTTAATTCTAATTTTTTACAGATGTTTAATTCGAGAATTTCAACCAAACTACAGCTTACCTTGTATACATTATAATGGTCAATAGTGTTATCAAATGCCGTGTACAGATCGTTCAAAAAATCCACTATTTCCATTGGTTCACTGTAAGCAGAGATGGTGGTGAAGCCGACAATATCACTGAAGTAGATAGTGACTTCCTCGAACTTTTCCGGTTCTACAGGTAGCCCTGCTTTTAGGTTTTCGGTAACCATACTGTTTTAAACAGAGAATTCATACCTCAGTGTTGTCATAAACTTCTTACCAAACAACTCTAGTATATGTAAACATTAAGTAAAAACAGAGTAATTTCTCTTTACGTTAATTGTATCGTTGAAGCATATTATACTAAGCTCAGCTTTTAACAACAAACTATATACACAGGGTTGTCACAAGAAAAGTTTGGATAAAAAGGTATGTGTGGTGAAAAACATGCATGGAAGGGTGGATCCATTTTGGACATGACAGGTTTACGTAGGAGCCTTTTGCAATGGAAACTATTCTGCAATGTTATTATCAAATGAAACGGTCGTCAGATAGAGCATGACCTTATCTCTCATATTTCAGCACTCTAAGTTCAATAACCCAAGTAACCTTTAAGAAAATAGCGGTGCAATAAGTGTCACTATGTTATATATCGTTATATGTGTTGCTATCGTATGGATCATTATAAGTGTCGCTATCGTATGGATCATTATAAATGTTGCTATCGTATGGATCATTATAAGTGTTGCTATCGTATGGATCATTATCTTTTCCGAAAACTGAAAGCAATATTCTTCAACATTTTTAAGGGAATGCGTCAGTTTCTCGTTGAATACTAGCACCAATTTAATCAAATATCCCTGTATACTTCTCACGCACTTCTCGTATTTTTCAAAATTAGTTAGTTCTATCTTCCCGAATCCTACTTTAGCTACACTATTACCATGGCTTCTAGCAATTCGTCCGTTTTGTTTTTGGCTTACTAAGGCTAAAAAACAACAGGAATGATAATTGCGACTAATTTCTGAAAGCTTTCTAGTAGCATCTTACTATTAATATGTGTTTATATTCTTGAAAGATACTGAAAACAAGGTACAAAAACTGTTCCTATTGATATTTGTAGGTTTTCCATTTTGTCACGTGATACTGAAAATCCGGAAATGGTAAAAACTTAAAAAATGCATTTACGAAAAAGGAAAAAAAAACACACAAAAACAACAGGTATTTAAACGTTTTGTTACAGTAAATGATAAAATGACAGACATATAAAACTTGCTGCAAAAATTCACTCAGAAACATAATGGTGTTTGTTACCAGTAGTTGTCATCACAGTTCGTAAACATTTGATAGAATAGACCAAGACTTCTCTTGGAAATCGGCTATAAGTGCAATGAAATTTTGGGTTCTGCTCTTTTTTTTCTCAAGATGACTTTGCAAAATTTTCTAGAACAACAACAGTTCAAATGGATTCAGGTGACCGAGACAGACTTTGAACATAATTTACCTCAAACCACTGCTAAACATGGCAGTATAGCAAGATGCATTGTGGGGAATGACTTAAAGTAAAGTCTTTTGCTATAAGATTTATCGACGTAGAAAGCACAAAACTGACCATAATATTACAGTGTAATCAAGAATTCGTGGGTATCTTAATTATTTCCAGGGAATTAAATCTAAATCGGCTACATATAGTAGGCTCACGCCATGGTTTTGTCTTAACTATACTTTACGGTTGGAACCTGTCCATCCAAATCAAACAATGGGTGGCAAGATTTATCGTTCCACATGATGGTTTTCCATGACTCTTCACTCCAATTTCGATGATTAGACACCATTAGCCCTTAAATGACGACTGTAACGAGTGATTTAAGGGTTACATTTCGTTCACAAAAATCCAGCAGCGTGGAGCTTTCTACGTAGAATTCAACAACACTGAACTTTCATTAAATTCTTTGGTGATGGGTGTAATGCTAGATGAGATGTACAGTTTCGTTTCACAATACGTTTTAAAGTTTGTGTGGACTGAGGAGGGATTAAATTTGGATTTCCGGACCTATGTTCTACATTAGCACGTACATTGCTCTTCCATTTCTTCGAGAACATTACCCATAGTTGGTGTTCATGAATAGTTTAGCTGAAACCTAATGGACGCTTTTACAATCAATGACGGATCTAATAACCATTCTTCTTTTTTTGTTTTGAAAATAAATGAGCTTCTTTCCTCGTGACATCTTGACTCTATCTGACTGACTTTAGAAACTATTGATTTTTACAAAGCCTATGCAGTAGTGTGATTAATGTGCACATTCAGTAGGAACTGGCGCATTGTAATATGGAAGGTGAAAATGATATATATGTAAACAAATCTGAATAATATTTGACTATAGAAAAAAGCTGTATTCAAATGGTAATATAGAACAAAAACAAATAAATAGATCCTACAGATAACGTGTGGTACTAATAAATATGAACATGCTCCTAGACAACACCTGGTACTAATAAATATGAACATGCTCCTAGATAACGTGTGGTACTAATAAATATGAACGTGCTTCTAGATAACACCTGGTACTAATAAATATGAACATGCTGGTAGATAACACCTGGTACTAATAAATATGAACATGCTGGTAGATAACACCTGGTACTAATAAATATGAACATACTGCTAGATAACGTGTGGTACTGAGAAATATGTTTGGTTACTTTTTCACCTGAGTGACACGTTATGCACACAATGAGCTAAATTGCCAGGTCAGAGACCCCCCGAGTTCAAGTACTACCAACCCTAATTTTGAATTGCGGACTATAATGAAGGGAACCAGTCGGTAGCATCCGCCGCCTTAAGCTGTTACTCTTAAACAAATGACGGGATTGACTTTCACAGTCATAACGCGCCCACAGCTAGAATTCGAAGCGTTTTGGGTAGCACCACGTCTCGAATTTAAGACCTTCGGATCTACAGTCTCATATGCTAATCACTAAGGCACGTTCGGGGCTGAGAAACATGAAGAGACATGTGGAAATACGTTTCTACTATGAAGTAAATAGATATTTCCAGAATACACCTAGTATTGAAAAATATTCATACTTAGCTTTATAACAGGTAGCGAGAAGAAAACGTGCATTTATACCTCGGTAGCATGCGATTCAATAGATGATCTGTCTTTTTCTTCTCTTCATCTAATTGAATTGTTCGTTCTTTGATTAAGTCTTCCAAGTTGTTGGAATATTTCTCTAGCATCTGAAACATGGTATCGACGATGTTGATTTTCCTGAAACAGTTACAACGTTGCTTTAAATTAACTTATTTATTTTAACTTCTGTAATTTAACAAAGTAAACTTAAGTACTTTATTTAAGGTATCTTGAAATTTCTCCCATAAAGAAGTCAGATAATTAAAAAATGGCTAACAAATTTAATATTAACTCTATATGCGCTATAAATCCGAAAAGATAAAGCTAAAGTTAAGCAGGGGTAAGTGCGATCAAATTATTCTTATGTGAAAAGTGAAACTAGATTCCATATTTATTAATTTATTTACAATTAAATCAAATCATGGAAATGAGTATGCATACGAAATATTTCTGACAGTATAAGAATTGAATTATGTACTATGAGATTATTATATATATTCGATGTTTTATGGGAACTTTTAAATTTACCAATAACAAAGATGGTTTACAAAATAAGAATTTTTAATGTTATTAATAAAGATGAAAATGCATAGATTCGGTTTGAAACTGCAGTAGAATTGAGAACTTCAACAACTTAAAATTCATTATCAATATTCTGGAGAAAAACCAACTTCATCTTGAGACCGTTAAGTAAGTAAATATTGACTTTCTGACACAGGGCATCTAACTTAGGTATTTTATATTTATACAATAATCTCATTTACAAGTCCAACATAGACAATATGTAAAGTTTAAGAATAAGCTACTGTTTACACTTTTCTATATACTTTGGAGATCGTCTTAAGTCTCCCGTTTGTGCTGAATGGATTATTATTATACATTTTTAGTTCGTCAAGTCAAAACAAGACATTTTCAAAGGTCGCTTAGAAAATCGATCCTGAAATTTCTACAACCTGTAGAAGTTTTTGAAAATTTCTCAATATGCAACTGGCTCAAGTATTTGGTTCTACTCCAGTTTTGTACTTAAATATATACAAGAACTAAGATCAGACGAAAAGGTCAGTATTATAACAAGCTAGTAAAAGTCATTTCAGTCAGTACTGTACTCCAGACCAGCTAGGTCGAGGCTAAAATGTTCTTAAGTGAGGAAAAGAAAATGTACACCAGTTTCAAGATGGTCATAATATAGATTTTTAATAACCAATAAAAAATAAACAAAATAAGCATTGCGATTGCGCAGCTCTTTGCAACGTCTATTGTACTAAGAGTTGATGTATAAATCAAACACATCATCTGATTCAAAATTTAAAAATGAAAGTCGTCAAACCACTATTAAAAGATGAAAAACTGGGTTTGAAATGTCTGAAGTGTGTGTTTATATATACAGTGATAAAACACATTCCTGGAATATTTTCTCACAACACCATCATATATATATATATATATATATATTTCTTTTTCTAAAGCGGATCTAGATAGCACATTTTAAATATTGGCAATGTTTGGACGAAGTGACGGAATTTGTGCTGATTACTTTTTCACACGGAATAGAGCAGAGAGTCTGAAACTCTATTAAAAAATAGACCTGAGGCGGGAAATGCCGTTAAGATAATTGTAGGTATTTTATTTGTAATTCTTTTACAGTACCAAAAATAAAAGGAATCGCTTTATGGCCCTTGAAATCAAATAACTTCCGATGAAAATATCTTTCTTTATCTATTTATTCATCAAATTTTAAAAACTGTTACAGTGCTAACTGTTTGTTTGTATTTGTTGAATTTCGTGCAAAGCTACTTCGCTAATCGCCTTAGTTTAGAAGTGATAGACAGTAGGTTTGTTTGTAAATTAAGCACAAAGATACACAATGGGCTATCTGTGCTCTGTCCCCACGGGTATCGAAACCCGGATTCTGGCGTTGTAAGTCCGCAGGCATACAGCTGTGCCATTTGGGGGCATAGACAATAGGGAAGACAGCTAGTCAACACTGCCTACTCTCAGTTCTTGGGCTATTCTTTACCAACGAAAAGTGGGATTAACAGTCAAATTATAATGCCTTCGCAGCGAAAGGTCGGACATATTTGGTGATGGGATTCGAACCTGAGATTCGCAGATTGTGAATCGAACGCCCTAACCACCAGGTCATGCTAGGCCAATGCCAACTGAAGGGAAAATATTGAATATTATAAAAAAAAACTCTTTACTTAAAGAGTCTGTTGTTTTTTTTCAACCTAAGGATCACTGAATGTTTTGATTGCAATTGTTTGATAGAAGTTTCTTCAGATTTCGTAAAGTTAGAAACGGTTTTGTTGTTATTTTACATTGCTATTATAGATTTGGAGGCAAACAACAAACAATAAAAAGAAATTATTCCGCATTGTCTTTACATTTACAAAAACATAGAATGTCTAAGTGAGATAGCTGTAGCAACCGCACACTTTTTTTTGTTACAGATGTGGATAGATTATTAATACTAATAACGATATGAGAGATTTCGATCTTCATAAAATGTGTCTTACTTATATAACTACTTTTCCTTATATTAAGTACTAAAAATACGTATTACCATTTCCTGAAAGTTATAGTAGCCAATCCTCTAGGGCACTTTTGTATCTTCAATTACACAATGTAAGAAATTGTATTTAAAACTGTAGCTGAGAAACGCGATTCTGGAACTCCATGGAGGCTTGTTCATTAAGCGATGTCCTCGCCAATGGCTTCATACTTAATTCACTCCTTCGTAGTTTAGAAATGAATTTATCACCATGTTCTTTTGTAGACTAATATCTTCTGATAAAAAGTTATTTTAATAGAGTTTTTGGTCAATGTTAATGGTTCACTGTGCTACGCTAAAACATATTACCATATAGTGATCTAGTACGGTTTGTGAACACGTTGTCAGGATTTAAATAATTTTCAATAGATAACGGTATTATTTTGGCTAAAAATGGCAACATTTTTATCAAAGGCCGGTAATTTAATCTCATTTACATTTTAAACCTATCCCCTTTGCAATTAATGCCTAACAAGTTCTAAAGGAAATGGACCAAAATATAAAAAGATACTCTCTTCACATTATAACAAGCTAATAATCAAAAGTACCATTCAGTTTACATAAGAATAAGTACAATCAAAGTTAAGCTAATCGCCAGTGGTTGGTGAACGCAAAACGAAAGTAATCAAACATGTTTGTCTGCATAGAAATAAAATAGAAATAACTATTTGCTAAGTAACGGTCTTAAAATAACTACGAAATGCGAGTTGCATCGTTGATTACCAATCGATGATGTTTTTACGTATTCATTAAAAAGTTATTTAACTGACTTTTGTGGACGAGAATATATTGTTACACAGATACAGTTTCCTTGGTTACATACTTTCCCTGATTTAGTCTTTTGAACTGCTCGTTAATTTGACCAAAGTCGGGCCTTACGTCGGGGTACTCTGCCCAACATTGTTTCATAATGTTGATAGCCTCAGGTGGTGCTGCCTGTTTGGAGACTGATGGCCTGATGAGCGGTGGGGGGCGCTTCAGTTTCTCGATCAGCTCTAGAAGACAAAAATAGAGATAATACATTTTTCAAGGTTTCTCATATTATTCTTCTACTTGTTTCAATACACGGGTGTTTAGATATGTAACCGTTAATTTTCTATTTAAAACAAATCAACGTTTGACCGTGATATACACAAAGAATAAAATAACTGTAATTGAAATACATGAAATATATCTTTGCAATTTATTTAGAACACATTGAAAACTAAATATCAAAATAGAAAATAAAGAACATCCATGATTTAAAGAAATACTGGTATAGATACACAAAATGAAAAAAAAAAGACAACTTATGATAACTTTATATTTAAAACAATTGTTGATTTCGAGTTGGGGCTGCAAGAAGCTTGTGAACCTCGTTAGCAATAAAACCTTGTTTATCTTCTTGTTAAAGATAACGAAAAATTTGACCCAATAGATTTTTGGCTCGGATGGTTCTCTTTTGTAACCATAGTTTCAGAGCCCACTATTGCTGTTCTAAACGTTCTGTTATGCAAGCTTTTTCTTCTTGCAAATAGGGCATTGAAATATTGTTGTTGTTGTTGTGTTTTTCTCTACATTGCTTAACAATTTATTTATACGATTGTCTTTCCTCGGAAGGAGCTGTAACATTATGCTTCAGAAATGAGGCTTTTTGTGGTAGCATTGCAGGTCGAGTGATTAGAAATTTGCCATAAAACATAAATAAAGTTGTTAAATACACAGCCCCTGGTGCCACGGCTCGCTTCTGCAATGATACGTCAATTGTTCTGATAAAGTGCGATTATTCCCCTACATTATTGTTCACTTTGCGTTTCCTCGAAAGGAGAACGCTTGAGTTATTGTAGAATTCAATGTTTGCTGGTAGATCAAGAAACCATTAAAAAATAAAAATAAATGATAATCTGTATTTGAAGGTTGTTAATATTTGATTGTAAATTTTGACTTTTAAGAAAACTGCAGATACATCAACAGAATCGAACTATCGGTGGAGTAATTTTTGTATTTTTGCCAAAAAATGGTTTAATTATCATGATATTATTGTAACTTTTAAATGGTTATAATTGTAAAGATTAGCTTTGATTCATGTATTTTTACTTAAAAGTTGTATTAACTAAACAGAAAATTGTATATTTTACAATAGTTTGTTAGAAAGATGGGTACACTTTTCTGTGATTATGCGTTTTTTTATAAGATTTTTTTATACATTAATTGCTTCAGTTACTAATAAGACATCAAAGTTGTCAGTAGCGAAGTACTTCATATTTTTTTGATAAAATGTTTTTATTGCAAACGTGATATTCAAGCGACATAAGACGGAGAATTTAAGGGATTCTAAGTCTCTATACGAGTGTTCGTGAAGAAATTTGGGTAGGATTAGAGGGATTTTTAGGCTTCGTTTTGCGCAATAACTGTCAGTGATAGTATTCAGCAAGATCCAAACCAAGTATACATTGAGAAACAAGAAAAACATTTCATTAGATAGTCCACGGGTTTCCTTCTGTCATGTGTGATCAGAAATACCATAATACCCTACTTAAGTGTCTCTTGAGGACATTAGATGATGCTAGAATTTTCTCCTTAAAATATCACTCTGTTCGAAATTCACAAGCACAACAGAAACAACTATGTAGTTGATTCTAAAAAAGACTCATTCCATTGCTGCGAGCGCTGTAATACCGTATGTTAACTGCGTTCTTTGCGTTTATTCCTTCGAGATTAGAACTTCAGCTTTTTTATTTTTCACTTTCTCTAAATCCTTCGTTTAGGGCAGATATAGACAAGTCAAACCTCAAGAGCTTTAATAAATGCCCCAATACAGAAAACAAAACAAAAACGCTTTTATTTTGCTGGAACCCATGTAGGACCACAACGTTGACAATGCTATAAAATGAGCAAAGTATGGGGAAGAAAATAAAACTTTGAATTTTGATTTTTACTTGTCATCGACAGCTAAATCTTTTCCTCAAAGACGTACATTTTAATTTTTTTTATCATCCTAAATCGTACAAGCAATTTCAAACAGCTGAAAACAACTTACATGATCACATGATTTTTCTCTGAGCATCAAATTAACAAGTTAAAATGAAGGAAACTAAGTAACAGCAAGTTAATTAACTACAACAAACTAAAAAAAAAAGAACCAAAAACACGAACCAAAAAACTTTAGTACAGTGTTGTATCTGCTATCTGGATCAGCAAGTAAATAACTAGTAATAATATACATATTTCATTTTTTAATGTTATTTAAGATTAAGTCTTACTGGTTGTTTTTATATTTCAATTTCAGCAAGAAAATATGTATCAGTTTCTTTCAAGATATACAAATTGATGCAACGTTCTACTTGGACATTTCAGTGGAAGATTTATTTACTGCCACGGAAAAAAAATGTATTGCTGAAATTAAGTAATTAATTGAATTCATAGAACATAAAGGTACTTAAAGAACATAAAAAATTGTAATTTCCGAAGTGAAGTCAGGCCTAAATATGGTCATTCAAAACAAATATAAACCTTCAGTTAAAAGTATATTCAAAATGTTTATTACTAGGTAGTTAAACATATACACCAAACAGAAACTAATCATTTTAATGTTAACCTGCTTGTAAATTCAAACCCAGCACTATTTCTATTGATACTTTACCTCTTCGGTTTTCAAACAGACAAATACAACGAGATGGAACAAGAGTTGCTCATAACATAAGTAGGCTAGATTAAATAAATATATTTTCACAGTGCATTATTTCATTAAAACCATGCCTTTTTTTTAATTCAAAAACTCGTTGCTTTCACGCGACTAGCCCGATATATTATTTAGAGTGTGTAGGAGTATGTTTTGTTATAGTGGAGATACATGTGAATTTGTCAACGATTTGAAGCAGTTGAAATATTATGATAATGTATACCCCATGGAAATTATGATCCTCACAATATATCATTAGATGAAACTAGCGAACTGCATAATAACTCTTATAAATCTTACTTTCGAATAAGATATAGGGTATTCGAAAAGCTGATTTTCAAACACTTTTATGTTAAGCAACCTTATTACACTTGTTAATTACACAGACCCGAGATGGTTTTATTGTCTTGATATTTTTACATGTTATACTGTAATTCCTGTACGCTGAATCCGAAAATGATATCCATTTTTCTCCATCCCGTACAGATTTTTCCCAAAATATTATAACGCAATACATAAAAGAAAGACCATAACACGTAGTTTTGAGACTGAAAGACTTAGATTTCACAAAAAAATCAGATGAATGAGGATGCATATTCGTTTGACATCAACGTTCTTCCCTTTTCTTCAGTTTGCTTGTATTTTTGTTAACAAGCATAATAAGAAAAAATTATTCATTGTGTTAAACTAAATAATAAATGTATCTAAATGGGAGTTTTTTTCCTTCCCGAATTGTAAAAAAAATCCTTACATGATAGAAAAAAAATTAATATTATTTTCGAAATCTGCGTAGCTGAATTATAAAAAATCCGTTATTAAAACTTTTATGAAGTTTAAATTCGCAGGCCTGTGTTATTGGTCAAAATGGTGAAGAGTTAAATGGGTTGGCTAGGGGCTCGAGCCTTCTCCCCGCTCTTATAAACTTCTTTTAGTGTTTGCTGAAAAGCTTATATTTAAGCCACCTCATGAAAAATTAAAATTTTGGTAGTATAGAAGACACATGGGTTATTTTGTCTGTGGATATATTTCTATAGCATTATCATGGTAAGTATCTAAATATTAGATTTACTGTTGAAACTAAAGTTGGTAACACACTCCTCTTTTTAGACGTGCATGTCGCAAATAACCATTTAAAAACTTAATACTAAAGTATTTATCATAAACCTACTTTCACAGTTATATATATATATACATTTACTTTTACATTTTATTCCATCACTAATTGAAGAATATTTGGTTAGTGCCCTAATCTACGGAGCCTTTGAAATCTCAGGAAATCACACCAGAGAAGTTGAAAACATTTGAAAGCTTTTTGAGAGAAACAATCTTCCACTGCCTCTTCTAAACACGATCATTTCAGCTCAAATCAACAAACTTAGTGTTCTGTTTGATGTTATGTATGATGTTCCGAAGAAAACAGTCATTTTAGTTAAGCTATTTTTTAGATCAAATAAAAAGTTATATATTCTAGTTCAAATAAAATGCGTCTTCAAAACACAAGCAAGTTTAAACATTTTTTTGAAAAATTGTATAGACGAAAATAACCACTTAAATACTTCACTTATATTGTAGAATTTAAGCTCCCAAGATGTAACTAAAGATGTACTCGAGACTACCATTAGAAGGCACTGCAGTCGCATCAATGGATATTGTAAGATTAAGAGCTCCGAACTAGCCACTGGTTGAAGGCTTTTAATGTTGTGCCAGCTTTTGAATTGTTTTTGTATTCGCACAACATGCTCCAGAATAACTCCAGTTGTCAAAATTAGGAAATCCCATTTAATGAGCCAGTCACGGCTCAGTGGTAAGCCTGCCGGACTGTGGATCCAATGTTCTGTGGTTCGCGCCCTATTACCGATAAAACAAAAAAAAAAAAAACAAACGACGACTACCACTACTTAGTATTAACTAAACAAAGTGGTAGTTAGTAAAC